GCCGCGCCCCGCCCCGGGGTGGGAGGGGGGCGCCGGCAATAGAATCAGGGTTGCAACCCCCCTTAAAATGACCCTCGGCTCAGGGTTCCCTGGAAGCCGAGCGCTGCGGCGGAGAGAGTCCAGTGCCGCCCAGCTGAGCAGCAGCGTGTTTCTCTTGGTGGTGCACATCTTCGCATGCCTTGGTGCACACAACAAAATGTATTCTGTGCATGGGTAGGAAAAACTGGAGGGGACGTTGCCCCCGACCCCAATTTGAGAAATACCTTGAACTCGTCATAGGGGAGGGCAAAAGCTCCCCAAAGCCCAGGGTGCAGGGGGCGAGCCAGGGTTCCCTGTCCGGGACGTGGTTTTCAGGGCTGTGAATGTGGTAGGGCCCTCACCAGGGGGTTTGCCATTGGTCCATCTGCCCAAACTGGGGCCCAGGCCTGACGCGCCAGGATAAGGGGACCCCTCCCTGCACGCCCTGATGCCTCTGGTCTGAGTGGGGGATGCAGACCCCAGCAGGCCACGCCTGGGCTAGCGGCCTCGAAGCTGGCACAGCTGCAAACTGCCTCCCCAGCTAAGCCAGGAAGCCAAGGAGGAAGGAGGGCTGAGTTACCAACACAGCTATTTCCGGGCCCCGGCCCAGCCCTGGCAGCTGCGGCCCCTGCCCCGCTGCTGCTGGAGAGCAGGTCGTTCTGCTCCTCCAGGTTCCGGAGCTGGCTCTTCAGCTGCTGGTTCTCCAGCTCCAGCTCCCGGATCCTCCTCTCCTGCCACAGGGCGGCCTCCTCCCGCGAGGCCAGGAGATTCCGCAGCTCCGACACCTGCAGCTCCAGCTCCTTGATCAGCTCCACGTACAGACCCGAGACCCTACTCGCTCGGCGGCTGGCGCTGCTGCCCCCCAGGGGAGCCCGGCTGCTCCACGGGCAGCCGTCCTCTTCTCCAGCTCCAGCTCCCGGATCCTCCTCTCCTGCCACAGGGCGGCCTCCTCCCGCGAGGCCAGGAGATTCCGCAGCTCCGACACCTGCAGCTCCAGCTCCTTGATCAGCTCCACGTACAGACCCGAGACCCTACTCGCTCGGCGGCTGGCGCTGCTGCCCCCCAGGGGAGCCCGGCTGCTCCACGGGCAGCCGTCCTCATGTCCGTACGCACGAGGGAAGGGAGCCACCAGGCTGGGACTGGCCAGGGGTCCGCTGGAGAGCCTGGGTCGTTTCCGGTGCTTGATTTCTTCTTCCACACCCAGCAGAGGGTGGCTGGGCCGGCCCAGGCTGCTCAGGGCTCCAGGGAGGTGGGCGCTGGAAGCAGACAAAAGCCAAGAGGGAAGAAGGATAAATCACACCATTCCCTACCACCTCCGAATACGGGGCAAGCGCCCGCCAGTGAAATGCAGCCACCTCTGGGGGGGTACGTGGCAGCTATTTAACACAGAGAGAAAGTTACAGCCACGTGCAGCTGCAGGGGGAATTCATGGCGCCTCCAGCCCAGGGCGAAAGCTTGTGAAAAGTGCCAGGGGGCCTTTACTGACCACAAGAGTTCAGGCTGGTGGCTTGCAGCAGAATTCAAAAGGCAGCGTATTCGGAGGTTGGCGGTTGGTTTCAAGCAGAGGGCCCCAAGGTTCGGTTCTAGGGCTGGTTTTGTTCAACATCTTTATTAATGACCTGGCTGAGGGGATGGATTGCACCCTCAACAAGTTTGCAGATGACACTAAGCTGGGGGGAGAGGTAGATACGCTGGAGGGCAGGGAAAGGGTCCAGAGTGACCTAGACAAATTGGAGGATTGGGCCACAAGAAATCTGCTGAGGTTCAACAAGGACAAGTGCAGAGTCCTGCCCTTGGGAGGGAAGAATCCCAAGCATTGGTACAGGCTGGGGACTGACTGGCTAAGTAGCAGTTCTGCAGAAAAGGCCCTGGGGGTTACAGTGGATGAGGAGCTGGATATGAGTCAACAGGGCGCCCTTGTAGCCAAGAAGGCTAATGGCATATTAGGTGCATTAAGAGGAGC